AGCATCTCTTCGCCTGCAGCTCCCAGCCAGGCACCCAACTTACCCCCGCGCACCTTTGGGTCCAGCCGGCTGAGGTCGCGGCTTTTCTCCGTCTCCCAACTGCACCCAATTTGGGTTCCGGCGGTGACTCCTGATCCAACAAGGGCTACTTACCAAGCAACCCCCGCATGGGTTCTATCTTAAACTTTTCGGCTTTACTACGACTCAGAAGCTTATATTAATCAGATATCAATGTATTCCTGCCTGATAGAGATATTGCTTGAAGTTTGAATCGCCAAAACACTTAAATCAGAAACTCGCTGTGTATGCTCAAGTTTTAGCAAAAGTGAAAATGCCACATAAATGCGTAATGTTCTGCTGCATTTCTGACTGAAAAATCTGACCGGAAACTTGTATAGAGGAACATACAAGAAAGACAAGATTCATGCGTAAAGCTCGCAGTGAATACTTGTCTTCGTGCATGTATTTAGTAAGGCTGTGCTTGCTTGACAACACAAAATTAGTAATGGTTCGGAGTGTTTCCGTGCTTTTCACATACCCCACGTCATTAAAGGAAGAAGTGGGTATGAAAACTGCCAACGTTGTGTCCTACGCAAGTAAAATTTCGCTGCTAAAGCTTTAAAATATACAAAACTAAGAATGTTCAGACTATCCGTTACGAGGAAGAAATTTTAGCAAATATTAGTCACCTGTAGATACAGGAGGTTCAACTGGACGGGATCTCGCGCATCAACATTCTGATCAGAGAAAAAGTATTTGCGCTGAAGAAGGAGGTTGTCTGTTTCTTCTATTCCATGCTGTCGCAGCGTCTTCGAATGAGAAAGCCAGTTTACTAAACAAGAGAAGGGATGATGAAGCATCGTGCAGAAAAAACCCAGATACTTCATACACAAAACAAGCTTACGTTTTTCTGTATTAAAAACATAGAGCACACTGCTTGAAAACGAGGCTATGAGCTTCCCAATAACTTACTGAGACATTTTCTTCTATGCATAAAACAAGGAATCAAAAAGGATTTTCCTTAAGCTAGGCAAAATACAATAGACAGACCGGGCCTACGCAAACAGGCCACAAGAAGCCTGAATCTCGAACTAAGTATTATGTCGTCTGCGTAGCTCCTAGCGGCCCATTATACTATATGAAATGACAACTACGTCCATTTTTTGGGAAAAATTAAAATGGCGCAAAACAGTCTTTTAAATTTTGCCCGTCAGTTGTTCTGGTATAAAAAATAAAAAAAGAATAAAAGATAAACCTGAAATTCAAATAGCCACAACCAGGGTGTAAACCGACAATAAAAAGAAAAGTTATCGTTCTAAGAATTTTCACTTAGTTTTTGCCTGTACCGTATTGCAAGGAAATATTTACAAGCAAGAAAAAATTTAGGTGGAACATCTTCCAAACGCCCATAAAGAGCATGGTAATAAAAGTTTAGGCTTACAATCGTCGTCGGTATGCAGTTTTTGCTTTAGCTTTTCCAGGCGATCATAGTCACGCGGTAGAGTTTTGCCCTTCCGGATAGTTTGCATTCGCGCCTTCTCGTGTATGAGGGAATATTCTTCATGATTTGTGATCCCTGAATGCAAGCAATGACCAAATAATTTTGATCTCATAAAGCGGTAATGCAAACATAAACAAAACGTGATGGAATGTGGCGCAGACATTTTAAACAGCATAGTCCCGTAATTTGGCCAAAAGTAAAAACCATTCGTATGTAAAGACAAGAATGAATAAAATCTGGGCAAATATATTTGAACGCGCACACTAATAACAAATACGAGTTGAAGTTGTACTAGAATAAAAGTAAATTTTGGTTCCTTAAAGGACAAGTATCTGTTGCTTAGAGGCATTTTGTCAAACGTAGTCCCTAGTCACCGATTTGCAGTACATGGATTTTAGAGACTACGCCCAGTGCCGATTAGCAGAGCGACGCAACAAACCAAATGTATGGTGCAGTGAGAGGATTAATTTCTGTGAAATTAAGGATACAGAAATGGCGCAACCTACTTATCTCACACATTACGCAATATAACTGCGTGCATTGTCCATGCTATTTTGATTATTAATATTTGTCTTGTTGAGTGTACAGCACCTGAGTTTTTTTCTGATAGATGCATTAGTACTTAGCTTTGGGTTATATTTGTACTGGTTCTGAAAAAAATACTCAGATATGCGTGACTACTAGTTCCCGATTAACTACACCTCGACTTTTATGCATGACCTTTAAGATGTCACGAAAAACTCGATAAAAGCTGCTTTGTTTACATAGAAAAACGGACGGAAACAGCCGTCCAATACCAAAAGTTTTGGAAATATATAGACAAGCTGCATTAGCAGTCGAAAAAATACTGAATTTAATGGAAACAAAGTCAATATGAAAGTATGCAATTTTAGGAGGTGTCACAAGGTAACGAAATGACCGACAATTTATTCCTATTTTAAAATCTCAGGAAATGAAGAAAATTACCCATTTTACCGCAGATCGCCAGCATCAAATCTGCTATAGTTTTGCTCTCATCTACTTGAAGCGTTTTGCGCGTGCCATCCATGGTGCTGACGATAAGACGACGAAGTTTCGACTTGTATTCAACATCCATCTATTACGATTCCAATTAGAGATAGAGTTAGGAAACAAACCCCGTCATAAAGGTGATAGTAGGAAAGAAGCCGGGAACTTTCCAGCCAGAAGGACTGCTTTGGATCGGGATCGGCTATAAAAATGCCATATTCTACATATAAAGCATAAAATTAATGAACAGACAAAATTACCTGGACCACTTCCAACATTTTTATATGCTTTCTGGATAGTCTGACATAGATCGAAAACAGACCTATCAGTCGATGTTTTGAAAGCAACTTTTTTATTTAAATTCGCTATGTATATATTTAGTGTAATTACAGCCATCCCGAACTACGGTAATCACCAGAATCAAAACTCTGCCGAAACATTCAAGGTCGTAAGTCCCTATTTTAGGGAATTTTAAAACTCTGTTCAAAATGTGCATAATGACAGCCTAAATATCTTTGGACATGTTTACCAATAAAAAAGAACATTTCAGCTGGAAAGTGCATATTTAAAACATTTAAAATATGCCCCAGACATATTTTCAACTAGAGATATTTGATAAAGCGGCCAAACGAAACGGTGGATATGCTTAATGACATCTGCGAAAATTTTCTTCCTGCCGTTATTCTGAGCCGAACACAATTCCACAAAGAAAAGGTAAACAAGATTGTTAAGAATGTATTTATAAAACTGGGAAACCATAAGATAATTCCCATTAAAACAATCTACGACTTTATTTAAGCAATGTAAATTGTACAACGGCTTCACCAGTGCGCAGGGGTTAAAGTTTGAAATACAAGGAAGTTATTTTATCGGTTGATTGGAACTCTGCTCAGGAAATTTCAGTCGCTTCAACGAACTTTATTCGTTTAAATTAATCGACCGGCAACAGTAACTGCTTGTTATTGCATTTACAATAACTGGATCAGTTTATGAATGTGGGAGTGAATGTAATGGTCTCTTTTGGGCTACTGTAAATATGAAGTTTTTAAAATCCAAGTATAACTTCCAAATACACTAATTTTTTCCACCGTAAGTATCAGCCATTTTTTAGGGATTTACTAACAATCTTCGTGCTCGATCACATGTGACTGCTTGCCTACTTATAACGTTATCAATTTTCAAACTCCGGCTAATACTGCGAAGTTTAAATAAAAGGCTCTGTAATGAAAGTGTACAATTAAGAGTAGGATTGAACCTCAAATCAAACTGAAGTATTGTGAATACAATTAGATGAAGTTAAACCATAGCGTCTGAGTGAAAGACAAATGGATGCATGGAATTCGCTCAATGCAATGTTTTAGGCGCATTTTAAACTAGGGTAATGACAGTTAGTGTGGGTACTGAACATGGAGCTGTAGATGAGGATAATCAGAGTGAAGGAACAGGTAAAGTTTAAAGGCGATCGAATAATCCAGCCATTATTTCTGTTGACAATAAAGATTGATGGCATTTGTGCAG